GTGATGAACTGACTGCAACCCCCATTCCCCGTCCCCCTGTGCTGCTCGGGGGAGGAGGGAGAGAAACGGGAGTGAAGCTGAGCCCGGGAAGAAGGGAGGGGTGGGGGGAAGGTGTTTGAAGATTTGATTTTATTTCTCATTGCCCTACTCTGATTTGATTGGGAACAAATTAAATTAATTTCCCCAATGCAAGTGTGTTTTGCCCATGACAGTAATTGGTGAGTGATCCCTCCCTGTCCTTGTCTCGACCTTTGAGCCTTTCATTGTTTTCTCTCCCCTGTCCAGCTGAAGAGGGCAGTGACAGAGCAGCTTTGTGGGCACCTGCCACCCAACCAGGATCAAGCCACCACCGTAAGCTTGACGCTTCAGGGTAAGACAACAGTGAGCAATGGGCCTCCTGCTGATTTTTAAATTTCACTATAAACAACTGGGATTCCAAATACAGTTTTCACCTGACTTTCCTTAATAAGTCTAAATGAATCAGAAACTATAAACCAAAGATACAGTGTTTCTGTAACACAAAGAAAGCAATCACAGCTGAAATCCAAACGGAAAAAAAGAAGTCAAACTTTCACAGAGCTCAGTGAGGTAAGGTACTAGTATCTCAGTGGGGAGCTGAGTAAACTGGGTGATCACTCTAACACACGTCACACTGAGGTCTGGAAATTTATGAAAGAGGAATATTAAGATTAAATTTATAAGTGATAGGTGTAACACTGTATTTAGAGTTTTGAATTATCTAAACCATTTCCAAATATTCAAGTTATGTAAAATTAATCGGCACAATAGTGTATTAAAGCTATTTTCTTTTTTCAAATCACAAAAGTATGCAAAGTGCAGTTTGTAAATAACACCTATAAGGAAAAAAAAGAAATAGCAAGAAAAGAAGGTATGATGTGGCTGCTATTTTTCATATCATTTCATACTGATTTCATCTGGATTACTGCGTGACTGGAGTTACAGACTTAACTTGGTTAAGAATGATAATGAATAAGCAGATACGGGTGCTAAAAATTCTAGTTAATGAGCAAGTTCTTAACTGAAAAAGCGTAAGAAACTCTCATCAATAAACTGGGAAAAGGGAAGATCAGCAGAAAGAATCATAATTCATACCCTGTAGTTAAAAAACACAAAACAAAGATCTGACCATTCCTATATAACGGTCATTGCAAACAATTAGCATTGTATATGGGACGGATTACAGAATCACAGAATCACAGAATGTTTGGGGTTGGAAGGGACCTCTGTGGGTCATCTAGTCCAAATCCCCTGCCAAAGCAGGGTCACCTACAGCAGGCTGCACAGGACCTTGTCCAGGCGGGTCTTGAATATCTCCAGAGAAGGAGACTCCACAACCTCCCTGGGCAGCCTGTTCCAGGGCTCCGTCACCCTCAGAGGGAAGAAGTTCTTCCTCATGTTCAGACGGAACTTCCTGTGCCTCAGTTTGTGCCCATTGCCCCTTGTCCTGTCGCTGGGCACCACTGAAAAGAGTCTGGCCCCATCCTCTTGACAGCCACCCTTTAGATCTTTATAGGCATTTAAGATATTTATAGGCATTATATTACAGCACCTCTCAGATATTATTTGAAGTTTTCAGCAGTGAATGCATCACAAAACCAAAGGCATAGAAGACTGAAAAGAAACCCCCACATGCTCCTGGCGTATTTCCTAGCATTAAACCGTATGTAATATAACCTGACGTCTTTAAAATCTGTCCACACTACAGATTCAGAAACATTTGTCAAGCATTCTAAGCACCACTACTTTTCTGATGATACTGAGCATCGCCACTGACAAACCCGATGTAACTGAATTTTAACCAGCGTCCCTTCAAAAACCAGCTCTAGCAAAAGGAGAAAAAGAAAATGGCAGAGGACAATCAAACCAGAGTCTTGGAAGAAATTCTCCAACAGAAGATGACAATAGACTTTCCATTTATGAAACACAGCATTACCTCAGCCGGCAACCACATTACATCTTCATGATTTACATTACCTCCCTTGTCCTGTGAGGTCTTGAAACGGATGTACACGGCTTGTAACGAGTCACAAATGGAAAGTGTGAGGTGAGAGCTGCTCAGGCTGCTGGGGGTGGTGGGTGTTTAAGGAATGCTAGCTAAGGTACTACCTGCACAGAGCACGCGCTACTCCAGTCATCTCCACAGAGCCTTTTGAATCTTTTCTTTCTGACATTCGCTGTTTCCTCCAGCCTACAGCCCCATTATCTTACATGAATTCAACACAAGAATCCAGTTACCATCTCAGAGGTCAACTTACACTTTTCTCCCTTGCACAAACTCAAACTTGACATTTTGTTCAGAGAGAGATATTTTCAACAGCAACTGGGGAGAGGTGAACAAGAAAGTTCCCGCTGGTGTGAAGCAAAAGTAAGTTCAACCCTCTTCAAACACGCATCTGCACAGATCAAGTGGGATGAAATTCTCTAAAGAAGATGGATGAAGGCCAAATAAATACCTGAAGCCGTTAGAGAGGAGAGAAAGGTGCATCTGGGCAACTGGGAGGGTTTGATGTCAGAAAGATATTAAAAGGGCCTGGGTAGGATTGAAGCGATATAATCTGCAAAATCTTTTGCAGGCAGATATGAGCTTATTTTGCATGAGCTGACCAGAAGCCAGCCTGCTACGACAACGCACTATTGAGCACTTGGTAGTAAGCCTTGCTGCAAAGCAGTGTGTATCAGATCAGGCAACGTACCATTCTCATGTGGCCACAAGTTCTCAGGCTGACCCACAGTGCAGGCTACAGTAATCTCACATCAGTCTGCAAATGGGCATGACGTACACCCACGAAAAACAAAAAAACCCACAAAAAATTTAAAGACCAACGAATCCATCAACTATGAGGTAGGATGAACCGAGGTTTGCAGGATCAGGGATGGACATCAGTCCCTGAGAAGCACTTGGGAAAAATTAACAAGAAGACAGAGCTTATGGTGTGGGGAGACCCACATTAGACATGCCCCTTCAGAGAAGGGGCACCACGAAGCCCCAGATTTATAATGGACACTTCTTTCAGAGGTAGCTTTTGAACTGAGACAGGTTAAACATGGGAAGTGTGAGAAGAATAACACGGTACATGTCTTTACAGAATGAATTCTGTCACAGTGATTGAGTAACTTTTTTTCTAGTAATTTGAACATAATGCAACACCATTAGACTATCAAACTCTTCTTAAAATCAATACAACTCAGGTACAAATACCTAGCTTCAGGCACATATCCCAGCATAGCCGGTACTCACATACACATAGCTGCATTTAAGTCCAACACAAGTATATTTGCAATATGGAAGTTCTCACCTTCTGTCTTTCATTCTCTTCTGATTACATATAATCAATAATATTTATTACTTTCTCCCTTACACTTTTCAGATATTACTTCTGAAAGGGAGACATTGCATTTGATGAAACAGCACAAAGACAAGAAGGTGCTTGCTATAAATACGCAAAAGATACTGCTATTTTACTTTGTATCCTAATCAATGTTTTTTTTAAATTTAGCTCTCTGATGGGTATCTGCTTTGGACGCAGCATACAGCATAGATTGTACTACTGATACATACTCTTCATCTAACAATTTTCCTGTGATGTATGTAGAAGTATTTAGTAGTGGATTTTTATGTCTCTGAGATAGATTACAGAATCTCCAACACACAAGGAGAAAAAAAGGCAATGCTTAAAAGAACTTGCCTAATATGTTAAAATATTTCAACAAAACGATATGGATTGGAATTCAAAAATTGCTATGACTCAATGCTTTTATAAGGCTTTGTCAGACCCGAAACTCTCCTTATTTATCCTATTTTCATTCTCACATCTACAGTATTTTTTAGGAATGGACAGATCATCTTGCACATATTTATATAAGTGCACCTTGGTGTTGCATGTACAAGTTTGGCACACAAATACAAACATACACATTACTTGTTAAGGATCTATTTGAGTATTCTAGTTGCACAATGTTAAATTGGTTGGTCTCTTATTGAAATCCATTTCTCATTTTCACAGAGCAGAAAAAATCTACTTTATATATTTATCATAACTCTAGCAATAGCATCTGGAACCCGTGAGGCATGTTACTTTTTGTGAGCATCTTCATTATTTTTTGTGCTGATTAAATTGGGTGTAATAGTGAGAAGATACTGACTTCACTTAAGCAACCGGGGAAATGGGACAAACCTACAAGGAGAAAAACATCTGTAATACACAAGCTTGGATGAGAAAATTGGTCAAAGCTGTTAAGAAAAGAAAAAAAGGAAAACCCACAGCAGCGCTTCTAGAGATTGTTTTCTGAATAGCCTGAAGCTTGTTTTCTAATTAATTTCCAACTTTAAATTTACAGCACTGAAACTCATCATCTCTGCTGACACGCAAATAAATTATTTACTTTACAGGTGCCTAAGAATGAGAGATAACAATTCAAGCCATAAGCAAGATGACTAAGGCAAAGCCAATGCTTTGCAGTACTCACCTTAGGCACCCAGTGGCATTGCGCAGCACCTGTGATGAATGGAGTTGTATTTTATGATCATCCTGGAGCGGAGAGTTTTCCCATCCAGAGTGAGGGATGATCACTGCATTGGTCAACACTGCGAGGGCATCCTGGATGATTGGCATTTTCAGTGCATCACAGGAGGACAGATTCCAGAGAACTCCTACCAAAAAAGCAAATGACTAACAATTAACACTTCTGCAGAAAAGACTGAATAGTTTTCATTTAAAAAAAAAAACCCAAAACATTTCACAGCATTGGTGTGCTTAACAAAGCTGTTTCTGGCAAGAAAAAACAGACTCCATTGTAAACAGGGCTGCATGCTACACGCACACTCCTGCACGGGGAATACAGCTTTGAGTACACAACAGGTAGTCCTAGCAACCCTGGAAATTTCACAGAGCTAAGCCTAAAAACTGAGCAGCTGGTTATGGACTAGGCCTGTTCAGCCTGTGAAGCACACGTGGAATGAAGAAGTATTACATGTATATTTTTAGGGCTTAAACTTCAGATTTCTTCCTTCGATATAAAATTAATAAAAACCAACAGCAGAAAATAGGTTCTGATTTATGCTAAGACTATCACTGCTGATAGACACGCTTTGAGAGGAGAAACCCCCAACTCTTTCTGTGATCTTCAGTGTAGTGAAACTGACTGTCCAGGCTAGCTGGTACTACTAGCAAAAAGCCTTCCTTCACAACCTGATGCAGTAGTGTGGTATTATACTGGCCTGCAACAAGCCATTTTTTATTTTGTAAATATTTTACTATTCAAAGTCACAGAAGACTACTGTTTTTGCAGACAAACAACAAGCTTAAAGGCACAACTCACACGGCAATTTACTGGAATTTATAAAAAAACAACAACCTTCTGTTAAAATTCATAACATGCCCCAGCGTCCTCCCGGCAGGAGCTGTAAGAGCAAGCCTGCCTCTCCCCGCCTCTCCCCTCGCCAACACACGTCCTCTTCTCCAGGGCCCAACCCTCCTCCTTCCCACTTGCCTTCCTGGAGTGACAGGAAGCGCGGCTCCACGCTTAACCCCGAGTGGCAAAACTGAGTTTTGCCTTTATGGCTATCAAGTCTTGAACCAACACGGAGAACCATTATCATGACCACAGACACGAGGTTACAAACACGAACATTACACTATGAAAACCCAGAGTGAGTGGTGGTGGGAGTACTAAAGACCTTATGAACGTAGACTCAGACATTTGTAAATACAAGCGGCAAGAATACCGCTTGCTCAAGGCCTTCTTTAGCATTTTGTGTTTTGAAGAAGGGGTGTAATTCATGGGAATCAACCTACATTTTTGGGTTTCCCTTTAAAATTAATTACCTCTATCGGGAGACTGTTGCAGTTATACAATTTCATGTTTTAATTATTTTATATGGAACTGTATGCAAAGACAGTTGTGTGGTTTAATGTAAAAATTTTGCTTAGCATACAAATTAAAAACCCCCAAACCTTAAGATAATGTGGACGTGGTAAACAGGCAAAAACCAACAAACTGTAGATACAGACCAAAAAAAAAAACCAAACAGTAACAATATTGTTCATTTTTTTTAAATTTAAAAATTACTGCTTTAAAGGGAAAAGATTCTCTGTTTCAGTTCTGTTCAGAATGCCTTTATGAAAAGTATTACTGTATTTAAAAGAATAAAGACCTTCTTAAAGATATTTATAGTCACTTCTCTATGACCTGTTCTTGGTAAGCTTTATTGGCACATCTGCTACTCCAGAAATACCTAGTATTTTGCTTGTTTTAGTCAGTACAAGAAACTGTGTGGTTGCATTTTTTTTTACATTTATCTAGACAAGTGTAAACGATGTGCACGATATAGAAGTAGAGAATCAGGATACAAATCTTTCCCCCTTCAAGGGCTGATTTACATCTTATGCAAGACAACTTGTTGCTCCTTTGTGAAGAAGTCTTATTTTGGAAATAAAGCAGAAGAGAGTGTTTTGATGGCAACGAAACAGTATTTTGGGCTTCAAGAACTAGTCACAAACTTGAAAAGCAAAAAAAAATACAAAAGCAGCAAACATGAGAGCCCTGCCTAGCAAAATGTTTAAAAATCTGTATGTATATACTATTTTCTAGGTTCTTACTAATTAAAAGTAAACTCACATAAATGTCATGATAAGTTGGTATTCAGCAATAGCTGAGATGCCCAGAAATATTCCTTAAGCCCTTTTTCTCTATTTAAAAACCACTTGATACGGCACGCGAGCTTTTGCTCAATAAACTGCCATAGTAACAGGCAAGCTCCAAATGCAAACAAAAACCTACATATTCACCTGAGAGCCAAAAATTGAGGTCTGGTTTCACTCACTGGAAATTAAATCTTCAGAGTAAGAGGATGAAGGGATCGCCAGACTAAATTAGCGGTTCTGTCTTCTCCTAAAATGATCAAGGCAGAATCAAGCAAAATGGCATGGCCCAGTAAGCCTGACACCATCCTCACAGTTTTTGGACCCCACACACACAGTTTTAAAGAGTAGAAAAATCTTCTTCCACGCTACAACAAAGCCTTTTACCTAATTTTAAGTCTTTGAATACTACCAACCACATCAATGAAAGTAAAAAATTTATTCTGACAAGTTATAATTTATTCTCACAAGTAGTGAAGTTTGCTGCTTGTTGAGGTCAGCAGTTTAAGTGCCTCCTTGTACCCTTCCTTCATTAAGGATCTGCAATTATGAAAGGGCACTGGCAATTCACTTCCCATTACTTTTGCTGAGGATGACCTGGAGCTAGATTTATGTGGGGCCTAAGAAGATGATCCATTCCCTTGACTTTGCAAGGGGAAGTGATAAAAAAAAAAAATTTGCCTGAGGCACCTTCCGTTATGGAGTCACCTCTTCTCTGTATGACTATGAACAGATTTTTCAAGCATGTATGCATTACATGGCCTTTAAGACTACAGTAAGGAGCTAATCACTGAGAACATTTGCCACGTTACTCTGAAAGCCCTGACTCGGTTGGGTTTCCAGCACAACAAGCAAGTCTGGAATAGCCTCAGAGGTGCCTTGTGACTGCCCCTAAATCATTTGTGTGTCACCAGCTGCCCACAGGCACGGAAAGGACAGGACTCGGCATACTGGTGGTTCACCACGAGTAGTGGGACCCATCCTCCTGCATATGGATTGGAAAGGAGCTGTTTATCCAACACCTCAGTAGTCCAACTCAACAGTTTAGCATCTGTGGACTGACTCTCGGGAGAGAAGGGGAAATAAGGAACTAATCAGATCAGTGTTGAACATTCTCTTACTTATCACTTGCGTTCATAGCATCTTATTTCCTCCTTGCTTTTAAGGTTGTGATGCATACAGAGCAGGCATTTTTGTCTCCCCATTTGCAGATCACTTTAGGTTGTGTTGGATGCTACCCAGAGAAACAGCTACACCAGACTGATCATGTCTGTTTGCAGGTAGATATTTTGCACCCTTACATATGACAAACCGAAACACATGGAAGAAGTATCTTGCAATCTCATTTTGAGTTTAAAACTAAGGAGAAACTGGTACTGAAAGCATCCAGCTGGTTCCAGCTGGAAGATGGATTTTTGGGTCCGAGTACCAATTAAGAGTCTCACAGACATCAGATGAAGGACTCTTAGAGGAGTCTACGGGAATGCTCGCTACGGAGATCTTACAGTACCAAGTTACATGTTCCGCAAGAGCTTGTCAGAGGAATTGCGTCTACTACATTCAACACGTTCTTTTACGCACTAAATATAAATCAACTTTTCTAAGAAAGCCTTTCACAGACAACGACAGTCAAATTTTAAAACTGGCTATAAATTTTGAAGAAGGTTATAATCAACCTTTTCAAAGACATAACTGTACAGCTATAGTGCATAAGGAAAAATACATACAGAACTTAGTTAAGGCAATTTAAATTTGTTGCCACTGGAAGAGGGAACTGAGAGAACAGAGAATCAGGAAAAGCTTTGATTTATCTTTCTCTTAGCCAAAGTCTGGAAGGCTGAAGACAAGATCTACCCCTCTAAAAGCACGGTACAGGCTGATGAGATGTTACTACCGCTTAGCAGACAGAGCTTATCCACCATGCTTTTGGTTTAGAAACCACTCCTTTTTACGCAAATTAATTCAAGCTATTGCAATAGATACCGCATCACTTACCCTAAAGAAGCGAAGCAAAATGTTTCAAAAAATTGAAGACGCTCAATTTAATGGAGCAGTCTGAGCCAAAATCCCATCATCTCTGAATCAGGCTGGAGCTCAAGCTCATCCTGATCAAACCCTGCAATGCATTTTTTAGCCAGTGTTTTACTCAGAACTGGTACTCACATATCTATAGTCAGATATAGCTAAGGACCTGATGAGCCACATGCTGTTGTTCTTCCTTTCAAAGTTAAGAAAATAGAGATTGTAAACTTCAATGCAAGAAATACCACCCTAGCAAGAGAGCATGTGCAAAATCAGGACAGTCTAAGCAATTATTCAGTGCATGATTTAATGCTACCTCAAATTATGACTTTTCTATATACAAACAACCCTCTTAGAACAACTTAAGACTAGAAATATAAATGGAAACCAAGAAACTGGAAAAGTCAGCTTTTCAAAAAAGCACTGCCCCTGCCACACTGCCGCTACATTTTTGGGTTATTGTGCTGCAAAAGACGTACTTCGCCAAATAAATTGTAGGGTAAAAGGACGGTAAGTAAACAAATGTTATTGGGAGAAACACAACTTTGATTCTTCCCAATTTGTAACGTATAAGTCAACCTTAAATTTATACTAAGATTTTGCTTATTTAATATTCTTTGTAAAAATAAAAATCTAGAAGTCTTCCAGCTCATGTAGGTTCTTCTTTTCCATCTTAATTTAATGGTTTGGTCACAGACGGATGCAGAATGCCATTTGGTAGTGCTGGGAGACTGCACCCCAACAACTCCGCGCTGGCAGGCTTTTTTGTTCATACGCTGAAGGCACGGGGGTACCACCGGGAGTTTCCCTCGTGAACATGACAATTAAGATTGAAAGCTGAGAGCTGAACACCCTGCACAAAGCCAAGCACAAGGGATCTTTTGCTGGAGTCCTTAGGAAAAGCATCTTCTACCACCGAGCTCTCCAGTGCTAGGAAAGCCACGTGCTGGCTCTGAGGGCAGCTTTGGCCGGCGGAGCGCCCTGTAAG